TAAATAAAACACCTAGGTAAATAGACATAAGTCGTATTATCTTTAAGAGTGTGTAGCTACCTCGGATAGATCAGGGGAAATTGGAGAAAGCAGATCTTGAGGACCTGAGCTAACGATTCCAATCAAAGAAACCATCTGAGTCACCTGCTGCATAAACTGAATCTGTTGCCTCTGCATTAATTCGTTTTGTTGCTTCAAAAGTTCCGAGAAAAAGCCGAACATCTGATGCATCGAAGAAACAGGAGAATTAGACTCCATAGTAGACGTACAACCCATATGAAGGAATTGATGAAACGTAGACACCTGTATGCCGATCCATTAGTAGATATATGACCAAAATCAATAAGAGGACCATTTCACTTCAGATGCGACATAATTTGATTAATTGAATGATCTCGGGAAGAAACAGGAACAAGTCCATAGCTACGCTTCTTTCTTGAGATTTTCTATGGAAATTTTGTCCACAAGTGACTTCGATTCATGATTATAAATGGTACGACGACGCAAAAGGATCAAACTACTTCGAATCGTCAATATTAATTAAAATTGTTAAATTGCTGACCTTTAAGCGAACCTTCCTTCTTGAAATCGTGCAATGTTGGATTTTTGCCGTAAATCCAAGTCAAGACTGTCAGACAAATGATATAAAACGATGTAAAAGCATTGGATTTAGTTACTCCATTAACGACTCCAAAGGCAGATCGCAAATCTCAAGGGGATGGACGCGCGTATCGTATTCGGCTATTTTTAAACGTTAATATCTCGTTAATTATTGCGAGCATTGCAAAATAGTAGATGACTTTTCTACTCAGTTTAGTTCACTCTACCTGCTCGGGACGAGTGGGACCATATATTCATGCCACCCTGTATATTAGCAATATTCTCAAATATTTTATGTTAAATGTCATGACAAACAAACTAAATGCTATAAATTGGCAGTTGCAATAGATTATTTTATATAGATATAGAAACTTGCTTTCAATTCTATTACCAAATATTTTGTAAGTATGCAATTACCTATTATAAACACTCCATTAATACAGTAGTGCCTGGTTCTACAGAATTTCCCATCGTACAAGTATTTTTTTGTAGAAATCTTTGTTACGAATTTAACTTTGTGTGCATACGTAAAAATAATATTATTTTTCTAGCCTATATATATCGCGATAATGTTTATTGTGAAAGAGCATGTAAGAGTTAGATTTAATATCTTTATAACGTAAAAATTAAATGCATGAATCTCTATAAAGTATACCTGTATACAATATTAGTAAGGTGCATTCAGATGCAAGCATCAAGCAGCGGAAGTAGCAACCAATTAGCGAGGCGATGCGGATAGTGGCATAAAGAATATTTTTTGCCCATATCGCATCACCGATTGGTTGCTGGCTCATACACACTGTTTGACATTTGATGTTTGTATCTGAATTCACTTTTAAACCATAGTAAAGAATAGTGATAGCAATAGAAATAACAAATTTCAATGTATCAAAAACTGTACATTCCGAACTGTATTCAGTTCTGGTGAGTTGAAAGCTGTGGAAGTGATTCACTGTTGCGATTGCTCACTATCAATCACAGCGATTTCTGCGTGGTTTTTATTTTTTTCTAGCATAATTGGTTTGTGTACAATTGGCTCATGTGCATTTGACCACTCGAAAGCTGTTATTTCTTATTTTTATCGCTATTGCTTCGCATTATATCTGAAGCTTTAAAGTAAATGACATTTTAATATTTGACTACCCCGTAACTATTAATATTACAATTTATAATTAAATAAAAAGAAATCTTATATTAGGTTGAAAACGAATCTTAGTGCTTAAATATTTTTTTGTGAATTTACATAATTTTTTTAGTCTTGAAATGCATTCATAGGATTTCCTTTCATTTAATTATTAGGTGTTGGAATTAATTCGTAGCGTTTTTTAATGAAAGAATGTTATTTATTTCACATGAGCATTAAAAAATACATTAATGAAAGTACTTCCCATCACTTGTAAAACGCTACGAATTAATTCCAACACCTAATAGATTTATTCTCTTCGATCTAAAATTCATGTCATACAATTTATGTTTGTTGTAGACCATAAGAAAAGTCGAAAATGTAATAGATAATTTCTTAAAAGACATGAAGAGAAAGAACGCTGAGAAAACACATACAAAGAGCGAGAAAAGAACCGAGAAAAAAGATATAACGAGAGAAAAGAAGAAACTAAAAAAAGACATGATGATAGCATGAAAATACAGCAATCTTTAGTTAATATTACAAAAATGGGTTGACAAATAGAAATAATCAGAAGAAATATAGGATAAGAGATTGTAATACTATCATTACAATGCTATTAGTTTTAAACGCGTGAATTGAAATACATTATTTTTTATTATCAAAGAGTATTAGAATAAATGTTATTAAATATTAATCATATTGGGAGTACAAATTAGTTCGGTCCGTTTTCTAAAAGATAGCTCCGGCTGTTGTGAATGATGATTCATAGTGACAACTGATTTTGGCATTTTCAGAGAGATTAGACATCTGCTAATAATATTCAGTTTATATCGCTTTGAGTTTCATACAAAAATCTTGATTTTTACTGTGTTTGAAATGTCGAATTTTGTGTTAATCAAGCAGCATTTGCAGGAGGTTCTAATTTTCTGTTTTAATTGGAAGAAAAGTGCAGCTGAAACCCATTGAATTGCTTGTCGAAGTTTATGGTGACATTGATCCAACTGATAAATCATGTAGGGAATGGTTTCGACGTTTCAAGGATGGAGATTTCAGCTCTGGACAGCCAAAAAAATTCGAAGACAAAGAATTAGAGGCATTACTCGAAGAAGATCAGAGTTAAACGCAAGAGGAGCTTGCAGAATCATTGGGAGTAACTCAA